TTCCTCCATCCCTTTATTTTGAGCCTATCTGTCTTTGCACCTGAGATGAGTCACCTGAGTACAGCACACCAATGGGTGCTGTACTCATTATCCAGTTTGCCTGTCTATGTCTTTTGATGGGGCCATTTTGGTTTAGCCCATTTACATTTGAGATTAATATTGTTATGTGTGAATCCTGCCATTTTGATGCTAGTGGGTTGTTTTGCCTGTTAGTTGATGCAGTTTCTTCACTGCGTTGATGGTCTTTATAATTTTGTATATTTTTGTAGTGGCTGGTACTAGCTGTTCAGTACTTCCTTCAGGAGCTCTTGTAAGGCAGGCCTCATGGTGACAAAATCTCTCAGCAGTTGCTTGTCTGTAAAGGATTTTATTTTTCCTTCACTTATGAAGCTTAATTTGGCTAGATAAGAAATTCTAGGTTGAAAATTATTTTCTTTAAGGGTGTTGAATATTAGCCCCCACTCTCTTCTGGCTTGTAGGGCTTCTGCCAAGAGATCCACTGTGAGTCTGATAGGCTTCCCTTTGTGGGTAACCTGACCTTTTTCTCTAGCTGCCCTTAGCATTTTTTTTTCCTTCATTTCAACCATGGTGAATCTGACGATTATGTGCCTTGGGGTTGCTGTTCTTGAGGAGTATGGTGGTCTCTGTATTTCCTGAATTTGAATGTTGGCCTGCCTTGCTAGGTTGGGGAAGTTCTCCTGGGTAATATCCTGAAGTATGTTTTTCAACTTGTTTTCATTCTTCCTGTCACATTCAGGTACACCAATCAAATGTAGATTTGGTCTTTTAACATAATCCCATATTTCTTGAAGGCTTTCTTCATTTCTTTTCACTCTTTTGTCTCTAATCTTGCCTTCTCACTTTATTTCATTGAGTTGATCATCAGTCTCTGATATCCTTTCTTCTGCTTGATCGATTCAGCTATTTAAACTAGTGTATGTTTCATGAAGTTCTTGTGCTGTGTTTTTCAGCTCCACCAAGTTGTTTATGTTCTTCTCTACATTTGTTATTCTAGTTAGCATTTCGTCTAACCTTTTTTGAAGGTTCCTAGTTTCCTTGCATTGGGTTAGAACATGTTCCTTTAGCTCGGAGAAGTTTGTTATTACTCACCTTCTGACGCCTGCTTCTGTCACTCATTCTCCATCCAGTTTTGTTCCCTTGCTGGTGAGGAGTTGTGATCTCTTGGAGGAGAAGAGGCATTCTGGTTTTTGGCAATTTCAGCCTTTTTGTGCTGGTTTCTTCCTATCTTCGTGGATTTATCTACCTTTGGTCTTCGAAGTTGATGACTTTCGGATGGGATATCTGAGTGGGCGTCCTTTCTGTTGATGTTGAAGCTATTTCTTTCTGTTAGTTTTCCTTCTAACAGTCAGGCCCCTCTGCTCCAGGTCTGCTGGAGGTCCACTCCAGATCCTGCTTGCTTGGGAATCACCTGTGGGGGTTGCAGAACAGCAAAAATTGCTGCCTATTCCTTCCTCTGGTAGCTTCATCCCAGAAGGGTACCTGCCAGATGTCAGCCAGAGCGCTCCTGTATGAGGTGTCTCTTAAGATAAACGGGGGTCAGGGAGCCACTTGAGGAGGCAGTCTGTCCCTTATCCGAGTTCAAGTGCTGTGCTGGGAGATCTGTTGCTCCCTTCAGAGATGCTGGGCAGGGATGTTTAAGTCTGCTGAAGCAGATCCCACAACCACCCTTTTTCCCAGATGCTCTGTCCCAGGAAGCGGGGGCTTTATTTATAAGTCTTTGATGGGCTGCTGCTTTTTTTCAGAGATTTCCTGCTCAGCAAGAAAGGGGTCTATTCACAGTCTGCCTGTAGAGGCCTTGCTGAGCCGTCCCTTATCACAGCTGGGCTCCACCCAGTTGCTGTATAAAATTCCTGGAGTCTTTGTTTACACAGGCAGGTTAGTACAGCCTACCTGAGCCTCAGTAACGGCAGATGAGCTCGTTACTCAACCTCAATGAGGCCCTCCCCACACTGAGCTCGAGCTTCCTGGATAGAGCTCAGACTGCTGTACTTGCTGCGAGAATTTCAAGCTAGTGGATCTTAGCTTGCTGGTCTTTGTGGGTGTGGGACCCGCAGAGCCAGATCACTTGGCTCCTTGGCTTCAGTCCCCTTTTTTTCAGGGGAATGAGCGGTCCTGTCTTGTTGGCATTCCAGGTGCCACTGGGGTATGAGAGAAAAAAAAAAAAACTGCTGTAGCTGAAATGGCTACCCAGTTTTGTGCTGGAAACCTGGGGTGCTGGTGTTATAGGCACAGGGCTGGGGGTGGTTAGCCTCCTGGTCTGAGGCTTGTGAAGACCATGGGAAAAGTGCAGTGTCTGAGCCAGAGTGCTGGAGTGCCTGGAAAAGTCCCTAATGGCTTCCCTTGGCCATTAGGCCAAGGTAGAGGGAGTCCTCTGTTCCCTTGTGCTTCCCAGGAGAGGAAGCAGATGCTCCACCCTGCTTCGGTTTGCCCTCCTTGGGTTACACTCACTGTCTAACCAGTCCCAATGAGATGAACCTGGTATCTCAGTTGAAAATGTGGAGAACACTCACCTCCTGGCTTGCTCTCACTGGGAACTGCAGACTGGAGCTGTTCCTATTTGGCCATCTTGGCAGGAGTCCCAGAATATCTTGGAACTGAGATTTCTATTGAGACCTGAAGTAAGAATAACCCAGGTACAGTTGGTAGAGGAGGGACTGAAACATCATTTCAGAGGTAATTACTTGTGTCATTGCCTGGAGTTAAAGAAAACCAGACATATTTGAAGAACTTAGGGGGGTAAAAAAGAGGATGTCTGGAGCAAGAGGCAAGAGTTGAGTTGTGAGAAAAAGACTGGAGAGGAAAGTAAAAGCCTGACTGGAGAGGGCTTTGTATTGTGTGTTATAAGGGTTGGATCTCATTTCTTAATGCTCAGCACTGTTATTTTATAAATATTATTTTTTTTTAAAAAAGACAACTTATAGCCTTTTTTTCTTTTTTGCTCTTGTTGCCTAGGCTGGAGTGCAGTGGCATGATCTTGGCTCACTACAACCTCCACCTTCCAGGTTCAAGCTATTCTTTTGCCTCAGCCTCCCAAGTAGCTGGGATTACAGGCATGCACCAGCATGCCCAGCTAATTTTGTATTTTAAGATGGGGGTTTGCCATGTTGGACAGGCTGGTTTCGAACTCCTGACCTCAAGTGATCCACCCACCTCAGCCTCCCAAAGTGCTAGGATTACAGGTATGAGTCACCAAGCCCAGCCTTACAGCCTGCCCCCCTCCCCCTCCCCTCCCCCTCCCCCTCTCCCTCTCCCTCTCCCTCTTCCTTATAAGGAAGAATTGAATAACATTCATTGAAAAAAACATATGGTTTCTTTCATCATTTACTATAAATTATTTGTGTCTTATTCATCTCACTACATTAGGTCAAAGCCTTCCTTAGAACTTGAATCTCATACACAGATTTGAGCCAATAACCCCTGTCCCTCTCCCTCCCAAGAGGAGATGTCTTCTCTTCCTAGCCCCCAGCAGAGTACGCCTGGCCCATAGTGGGAACTCAGTAAATATTTGTTGACTGAATAAAGCTTACTTTTCTGTTGCTTCTTCTGATGGACAGCTGAGAGGCCATTGTTTGCCAGTAGTCAGTAATGCTTAAACTTTACTGGTTGGAAACAGCATTCAGATACATCACAGAACCAGCTAACCACACAATATGAAGCAGGAGCTATGGTGAAGCAGAGGAAAGAAGGGAATGAATGTGGAAGACCTGAGTCTTTATTCAAGTCCCTCCAGAAGTGTCTTTCACGTGGGGGAATGAGAAATATCTCTTGAAGGTTACTGAAGATACCTATTCAGGACATAGCTGAAGACGTTTCCCCAGTACCTCTGTTCTTTAACCTTAGTCAAGCTACAGCCATGGATCATAGATTGAAACCAAACTTAACCTTTGCCCAAATTAGAAAAGGAGGTTTGGCAATGAAAAACAAGGCTGGGCATGGTGGCTCATGCCTGTAATCCCAACACATTGGGAGGCCAAGATAGAAGGACTACTTGAGGCCAGGAGTTTGAGATGAGATTTGGCAACATAGCAAGACCTTGTCTCTATAAAATATTGAAAAATTAGCCAAGCGTGGTGGCTAGTCCTGAGTAGCTAGGACTCAGAAGGCTGAAGTGGGAGGACTGCTTCAGAAAGTTTAAGCTGCAGTGAGTTATAATTGAATCACTCACTGTATTCTAGCCTAGGTCACCAAGTGACACCTTGCCTCAAAAAAAAAAAAACCACCACCAAAAAAACCCCAAAAACTCTGCTCAGTACCCATTCCAAAGTCTAGTCAACCTATTTTCACTGAGAACACATGGTACACCCAGCTTCCATTTCCTTTAGAGCCCTTAGTGTCAAAAAAAGGATGGTCCCTTCTGGGCAACAGAAATAGGGCATAGCAGTGGACAGTCAGATGGTATGGCTTTAGGAATGTCACATCCCCTTCTCTATAAAAGGGGAGACATAGTTGCCACAATCTCTGAAGTCCCTTGTAATTTAGACCAGTTTATAGGCATGATGTACCTTGGCATGTGTCCTCCCGTGAGACCAAAAGAGCAGCTCATATTTGCCCAGGGTGGCGAAACACTGAGCACAATGACATCAGTGCTTTAGGGCTTTGCAAATGAAGTCCTTCTTTCGCTGTACTTTTTTGGTTTCTGTTTCTCCGTTAGATTTTTGCCAGTTGGTTCTTTATTAATCCATCAGCTCTTTGGGGTTTTTAAGGAGATATTTTAAAAATACTATATTGAGCTGGACACATTGACACATGCCTGTCATCCCAGCTGCTTGGGAAGCTGAGGCAGGAGGATCGCTTGAGTTCAGGAGTTTGAGACCAGCCTGTATAACACAGCAAGACCCCATTAAAAAAAAAAATTATATTGAACACTTCCTACTAGTGGTGGTGGTGAGAGAGGAGGTTGGTAGACAAATAACCTAGTCTACCGTTATTGAAATGCAAGTTCTTATGATTCTGTTTTCATGAATGTTTTGTTTTTGTAGCCACGGCAGCAATCAATGGAGGGTTCCAGAAACTTGAGAACTTAAATCTTTCAATCAGTCACAAGATTACAGAGGAAAGATCAGAAATTTCTTTCAAGCACTGAACAAGCCAAACTTGCAGGAGTTGAATATCTCCAGGCATTTCACAAACTGTATCAAAGCTCAGGCCTCAACGGTCAAGCCTTTGAGTCAATGTGTGTTAACAACTGCCGTGCCTCATCAGACTGAACATGTTAAACTGGCTCTTGGATGCAGATGATATCGCATTGCTTAATGTCATGAAAGAAAGACATCCTTAATCTAAGTACTTAACTATTCTTCAAAAATGGATACTGCCATTCTCTCCAATCATTCAGGAAAAAAAAAAGATTCAGCTAAAAATTGCTGATCAATTATTTCATCCTTGTGGCACACTGAGGATGAAAAAAATTTGTCAAGTAATGCTAAAATCAGAATTAACTAAAAACATTTATTAACTATTGCATACAAAAGAAAATGTGTAATGCTTGTTAAAAACAAACAAACAAACAAAACACCAGCTCTGCATACTCACCACCAAGCTCAAGAAATAAACCATCACCAGTACCTTTGAGGTCCTTGAATAATCCTCCCCATCTAAAGGCAAATCCTTTAATCAAGTTTATACAGCTAAACCTCCACTGTTCATGGTCAACAGGGAAGGGGTTGAGGAAAGTCTGCCAATCTATCTAAAAACCACACTTTATATAATAAATGGCTAACTTAATGACTGAATCAGTTTCACACATGGATGAAATGAGTTTAACACAAGATCCACATGAATCTTCTGTGGGCCAAGAGATATTCCTTAATCCATGTAGAACCTGTTTTCTATATTGAACTAGCTTTGATACAGTAGATTTAATTTACTTTCCCTTTATCCACTGCCAATGTAAAGAGGAACAGGGGTTAGGGAAAAATGTCTTCATCTCAGAGGTTTTTCAGAGTTCAACATATGCTATAATTTAGAATTTTCTTATAAATCCACTCTACTTGGATAGAAAATAGTTTAGTGATTTCATAATACCATTTCCATATCACAGTATTTCATGGTATTATATGTGATGTGAGTATATAAATGTCAGCATCCAGAATTTCAGTCCTACCAGTTAGGTAGTTTTCGGAATAACCAGAAGACCATTCTAAATTCATGATGCTACTATAAGTTGGTAAACAACCATACTTTATCCTGATTTTTATTTTTACTAAAACAGTCAACTCCCCTCCCCATGCCCAAGTAAGAAATATAGGAACAGTATGTATAGTATGGTCCCATTTGTTTGAAAAACCACTTAAGGCTGGGCGCGGTTGCTCACACCTGTAGTCCCAGCATTTTGAGAGGCTAGGGTGGGCAAATCACTTGAGGTCAGGAGTTTGACACCAGCCTGGCCAGCATGGTGAAACCCCACCTCTGCTAAAAACACAAAAATCAGCCAGTTGTGGTGGCACACACCTGTAGTCCTATCCACTCGGGAGGTTGAGACACAAGACTTCCTTGAACCCAGGTGGCAGAGGTTGCAGTGAGTCAAGATGGTACCACTGCATTCCAGCCTGGGCAACAGAGCAAGAACCTGTCTCAGAAAAAACAACAACAACAACACATTTTTAGCTGCATTAAGAATTTCTGAATATGTTAATGAGCTCGATTGTGGTAATTAGCAATCAGAAAGTATATGTATATCAAAACAAGTTGAACATCCATGTTGTACAACTGAAATATACATAATTTCAACTTGTCAGTTATACCTAAACAAAACTGGAAAAAAAATTCTGGAAGGATATATGTAAAAATGTTAATGGTGGGTACCTCTAGGAAGGAGGCCTGGAAGGCATTCTTCCTTTTCACTCTCGCTCATTCTGTATTTTTTTTGTTCTACCAGTGCCTGCACTGCTTTTATATTTAGAAATAAATCTAGTTTAGCACTAAAATATTAACTGGAGCTACCTCTGGAGGGCAAGAGTACTAGAAGGTGTAATAAATTGTCTTCTTGCTTGTCTGATTTTATAATATGTAAATATATTATAAGTTTAACATACAGATGCTCTGCCAGACACAGTGGCTATTACCTGTAATTCCAGCACTTTGGGAGGCCAAGGTGGGCGGATCACTTGAGGTCAAGAGTTCAAGACCAGCCTGGCCAACATGGTGAAACCCTGTCTGTACTAAAAATACCAAAAAAAGAAAAGAAAAGAAAAGAAAAAAGAAAATTAGCCAGGCATGGTGGTGTGTGCCTGTAGTCCCAGCTACTTGGGAGGCTGAGGCAGGAGAATTGCTTGAACCCAGGAGGCAGAGGTTGCAGTGAGCCGAGATTGCACCACTGCACTCCAGCCTTGATGACAGCAAGACTCCATTTCAAAAATAAAAATAAAATATACAGATGCTCTTCAACTTATGACAGGGTTATATCTTGAGAAACCCAATGTAAGTAGAAAATATCGTACATCAGAAATGCATTTAATATACCTAAACTACTGAACATCATTGCTTAACCTGGCCTAGCTTAAACGTGTTCAGAACACTTATATTAGCTTACAATTGGACAAAATCATCAAACACAAAGCGTATTTTATAATAAAGTGTTGAAAAATCTCATGCAATCTATTGAATACTATACGGAAAGTGAAAAACGGAGGTTTTATAGATACTTGAGGAACAATTTCTACTGAATGTGGATCACTTTTGTACCATGGCAAAGTATAAAAATCCTAAGTCAAGTCATCATGAGTTAGGGACCGACTCTAAAAGAGTTATTAATAGAGGATTGGAATGAGGATTAGGTAGTAAGGATTAAAGAGAAGCCAGGGCAGATACAGCTAACAGCCAATATGGGCTTTTCACCCTAGGCTGAGACAGAACAACTTAAAGGAAGCTCAGGGCTAAGATCCAGATTTCGTGTGAGAGGACACGAAAGACAGGTTTGCTGAGGTTGTGAAGTTGCAGCCTGAGGAGGTGCTGGGCTTGGGGGACTTTGCTGAGAAGGGACCTTGTGCATATCAAGGGAAGCCATTCACGTGTGGGGTGCCATTAGGTGCTGCTAAAGTTAGGCACTACTCAAGAAGTGTGCAGCCAGAGCCAGGTGCTGCAGAAGCAGGGTGTATGTGCTGCAGAAGCTGGTGCTGCAAATGGCACAGGTGTTACAGGTGTCTGCTTGGAAGAGCACACTAGAACCCTTGCTCCTTCAGTGTGTCAGCAGCACCCTTGAGACAAAGTTTTACACTGTGCTTGCTGCCATGGGAGAGGTATTTATAGGGCCCAGATCTATTACTGCAGAACAGACAATGAAGGCTGAATGTGGATATAAGAGGCAACGATTAGCATAGCTCATTAAATGTAACAGTGCATACCTAAATACAAAATAACCTAGTAATTTCTTAATATCGACTGACAGGATATATGTACATGTGATATGTTTATAAAATCACAGAAAACTTATTAAATGATATATAAAAAACAGGCAACCATAATTGAGTTTAGGGAGAACAGGATGGCTGGTGGATAGAGAAGGGAGAGAGGGAGGTTTGCTTTTTTTCTCCCGCATACCTTTTTTTTTTTTTTTTTTGAAGTGGAGTCTTGTGCTGTCACTCAGGCTAGAGAGCAGTGGCAGGATCTCAGCTCACTGCAACCTCTGTCTGAGGTTCAAGTAATTATCCTGTATCAACCTCCCAAGTAGCTGGGATTACAGGTGTGTGACACCACACCTGGCTAATTTTGTATTTTTAGTAGAGACAGGGTTTCACCATGTTGGCCAGGCTGGTCTTGAACTCTTGACCTTAGGTGATCCACCCGCCTTGGCCTCCCAAAGTGCTGGGATTACAGGTGTGAGCCACTGCGCCTAGCCTGCATACCCTTTTATACCAGTTGAGTTTTATCCCATGTGTGCATACTATTAAAAATCACAATGCTTTAAAAACTCACAAGAGTCCATGCAAATTATTTGTCCAGAGCGTCTTCTAAGGGCTTTTAGTTCAAGTAGGGTCAGTAAAGTATGGCCCTGGACTGTCCAATCCTCAAGCTAAGAATGGTTTTCACATTTTTTAAAGCAACAAAGATAATCAGTGGCCTACAAAGCTAAAATATTTACTTTGTTCTTTTACAGAAAATGAACTATTTCCTTTTTTCTTTTTTTAATTTTTTGAAAATAAGATGGGGTTTCACCATGTTGGTCAGGCTGGTCTTGAACTCCTGACCTCAGGTGATCCACCCGCCTTGGCCTCCAAAGTACTTGGATTACAGGCGTGAGCCACCACGCCCAGCCAGAAAATGAACTATTTCCATGACAGAATACTTTTGAATCATAAGCTGATCATGCCCTTTATTCCAGTTTACATCAATCTTCACAGGACTCCTAAGTCATCCCTCATTGCCACAACACCTGTCCTCATGGTTATAAGCCCTCTCTCCCTTCCTCTTTTCATCCCTCCCTCTCTCCCTTCCTTTTTCTTTCTTTCATAAAGAAAAGAAGCTTAGTTGACTCACAGTTCTGCAGACTTTACAGGGAGCAGGTTTTACAAGCATCTTCTCAGCTTTTAGGGAGGCTTCAGGAAACAATCATGGTGGAAGGTAAGGAGCACATGTCACATGACGAAAGCAGAAACAAGGGACAGAGAGTTGAGAGGTAGATTCCGTAAACTTTTAAATGACCAGATCTCATGAGAACTCAGTATCAACACAAAGACAACACCAAGCCATGAGGGATCTGCCCCCATGATTCACACCTCCATCATGCCCCACCTCCAACATTGGGGATACAATTCAACATAAGTAGAGACAAATATCCAAACCATATCACTCTACCTCTGGCCCCTCCCAAATCTTATGTCTTTTTGACATTGCGAAATACAATCATACCTTCCCAACAGTCCCCTGAAGTCTTAACTCATTCCAGCATTAACTCAGAAGTCCTAAGTGTCATCTGACACAAGGCAAATCCCTTCCACCGATGAGCCTATAAATAAAACAAATTATTTACTTTGAACGTACAATAAGGGTTCAGGGGTTGGGTAAATATTCCCATTCAAAAAGGGAGAAATCTGCCAAAAAAAGGGGCTACAGGCCCCATGCAAAAACCAAGCATGGCAGTCATTAAATCATAAAGCTCCAAAATGATCTTCTTTGTCTCCACATGGCACACTGATATAAGGTGTTGGCTCCCAAGGCCTTGGGGCAGCTCTGCTCCTATAGTTTTGCAGGGTTCAGCCCCTGAGGCTGTTCTCATGGGCTAGAGTTCAGTGCCTGTGGCTTTTCCAGGTGCAGGGTACAAGCTGCCAGTGGCTCTACCATTCCAGGGTTTGGAGAACAGTGGCCCTCTTCTCACAGCTCCACTAGCTAGTGCCCCAGTAGGGACCCTGCACTGGGCCTCTAACCCCACCTTTCCCCTAAAGACTGCCCTAGTAGAGGGTCTCTGTGAGGGCTCTGCCCTGCAGCAGGCTTCTGCTTAGACATCCAGGCTTTTCCATATATCCTCAGAAATCCAGGCAGAGGCTACCAAGAATCCACCACTTTTGCATTCTGTTTGCCTGCAGGCTTACCACTTCATGGAAGCAGTGAAGGCTATGGCTTATGCCCAAGGCATGAAGTAATGGCGCAAGCTATACCTGGGCCCCTTTAAGCCCTGCTGGAGTTAGAGCCATCTGGATGCAGGGAGCAGTGTTCTAAGACTGCATAGGGCAACAGGGCCCTGGGCCCAGCCCAGAAAACCATTCAGTTTTCCTAGGCCTCAGGGCCTATGATAGGAGGGGCTACCCCACAGGTCTCTGAAATGCCTTCAAGGCCTTTCCCCCATTGTCTTGGATATTAGCACTTGGATCCCTTTCAGTTATGCAAATATCAGCAAGTGGTTGCTCCACAGCCTTCTTGAATTCCTTGATGAGAAAGCGCTTTCTTTTTCTAACCTGTAGTAGGCTGCAAATTTTCCAAACTTAGGCTCTGCTTCCTGTTTAAATATAAGTTCCAACTTTAAGTCATTTATTTGCTCCCACATCTGAGCATAGGCTGTTAGAAGCAGCAGGCCACATCTTGAATGCTTTGCTGCTTAGAGATTTCTTCTGTCAGATACCCTAGGTTATACTTTTTAAGTTCAACCTTCCACAGATGCCTAGGGCATGAAAAGAATGCAGCCAAGTTATTTGCTAAGGCATAACATGTGACTTTTATTCCAGTTCCCAATAAATTCCTCATTTCCATTTGAGACCTTGTCAGCCTGGACTTCACTGTCAATAGCACCATCATCATTTTTGTCACAACCATTTAACCAGTCTCTAAGAAGTTCCAAACTTGCTGGGAGCAGTGGCTCATGCTTATGCCCAAGGCATGAAGTAATGGCGCAAGCTATACCTGGGCCCCTTTAAGCCCTGCTGGAGTTAGAGCCATCTGGATGCAGGGAGCAGTGTTCTGAGACTGCATAGGGCAACAGGGCCCTGGGCCCAGCCCAGAAAACCATTCAGTTTTCCTAGGCCTCAGGGCCTATGATAGGAGGGGCTACCCCACAGGTCTCTGAAATGCCTATAATCCCAGCACTTTGGGAGGCCGAGGTGGGTGGATCACGAGGTCAAGAGATCAAGACCATCCTGGTCAACATGGTGAAACCCCATCTCTACTAAAAATACAAAAATTAGCTGGGCATGGTGGTGCGTGCCTGTAATCCCAGCTACTCAGGAGGCTGAGGCAGGAGAATTGCCTGAACCCAGGAGGCGGAGGTTGCGGTGAGCTGAGATCATGCCATTGTACTCCAGCCTGGGTAACAGGAGCGAAACTCCGTCTCAAAAAAAAAAAAAAAAAAAAAAGAAAGAAAATAGAAAAATAGTAGAGAGGTGTGGTGGCATATGCTTGTAATCCCTGCTACTCAGGAGGCTGAGGCAGGAGGATTGCTTGAACCTGGGAGGTGGAGTTTGCAGTGAGCCAAGATCATGCCACTGCACTCCAGCCTGGGTGACCAAGCAAGACTCTGTCTCAAAAAAAAAAAAGTTCCAAACTTATCCTCATTTTCCTGTCTTCTGAGACCTCCAAACTCTTCGAACTACTATTCATTACCCAGTTCCAAAACTGCTTCCACATTTTCAGATATCTTACTAGCAATGCCCAACTTCTCAGTACCAATTTGCTGTATTAGGGCATTCTTGCATTGCTATAAAGAAATACCTGAAACTGGGTAATTTACAAAGAGGTTTAATTGGCTCACGGTTCTGCAGGCTTTTCAGGAAGTATGGTGCTGGAATCTGCTTGGCTTCTAGGGAGACCTCAAGAAGCTTACAGTCATGGTAGAAGTGAAGGGGCAGCAGACATATCACATCGGGAAAGCAGGGGCAAGCGAGAGAGCTAAACTCCTACTTTCTGATCACATATCCCAACCTACTCCAACTTCCTAAATCCTTCCACTGTGTCCACATGGGTAGAATATCCTATATCCACAACCTCTTAGATCACAGTCCTTCTACCTTCTTGATCTGCTTATTCTTGAGCTTTTTTAAACCATGATCCACAATTAATAAATTTCACAACACTACACACACACACGTTATATTCATATACACAACTGAAGTTCTACAAAAACAAATCTTAGTAATGCTATATCAAATATTTGTTAATATCCAAATAAATGAAAATTCAGAAATACAAAGTTCCTTTAAAGTTTTTATATGCGCTGTCAACTGTTCTCTCATTCTTATGTTTTACCTCCTCCATTCCACCAAAACAGCTCTTATGAGGGTCACCAATGAGTTCCATATTGCTAAATTCAGTGAATACTCATTTTAGTTGACCCATTAGCAGCATATGGCCCATCAACCCTGTTCCTCAAAATACTTTCTTCATTTGGCTTCCAGGGCATCCCTCTTGATTATCCTCCAAACTCACAGAGAGCTTCTTCTTAGTCTCCTGCAGTTTCTCCTCATATACGATCTCTAACCAAAGAGAACCCAGAGTTCTCTGACATCCTTCCTACTTGAATGCACTTCCTCAGCTATCTCATCTAGTTGAATGGCTTTAAATTTTATATCTATACTAACTTCTACATTTCCATCTCTAGCCCAGACCTCTCCTCTGAACTGTTTTTTTACTTTAATAACATAAGGTCTCATTTTGTTGCCCAGTTTGGTCTTAAAACTACCAGGCTCACATGATCCTTCTGCCTTGGCCTCCCAAAGTGTTGAGATTACAGGCATGAGCCACTGCATCTGGCCTGGACTCTTTATTCATGTTCAACTTCTATTAGGGGGCATCTCAATTTTCATACGTTCAAAACCCAATTTCTTTCCTGCCACAAAAGTACTCCTTATGCAGCCCTCCATCTCATTAAATTCTGACCTTTTCCAGTTGCATAAACCAAAAATCTTGGAGTTTGACTTGACACTCTTCTTTCATACACCACATGTAAGCAATGTACTGGCAAATCCTGGTGGCTCCACTTGCAAAATATACTCAGATCCAACCACCACTACCCACCCTGGTTCTAACTAATCAGCCTGCTTCCTCCCTTGAAACCTATGGTGTATTTTCAACACAGCAATCAGAAGTCTCTTTCTGTAAGTCAGATCATGCTATACCTTGGGTTCAAAACCTTTCAATGGATTCCCAGCTTAAAGTAAGTGTTGAAGATTACGATTGCTTACATATGACCCCATCCTTGACTACCTGTCTTAGCTCCATCTCCTAATCTCTCCTCCTTACCTCCACTCCAGCCACAATGGACTCCTTGTTATTCCCTAAACATGTTAAACACACTCATGTCTTAGGGCCTTTGTCCTTATTTCCCTTGCCTGGAATGCTCTCCCTGCAGCTGTACTTAGAAGAGCTGAATCATCGCACAATTGCTAAAAGGACAAGTGACAATGTGACAGTGTTCTTTCATCTTTTATGCTTGTACACCACAATTTACTTGAAAGTCTGTAAGTGGACAAGTATGGGAGACAGATATGTATACAAAGTAAGTGGAAGGTAAAGATGATGTGAAAAATAAAAACCAAACCACTGAGTCATTCTAATTGGTATTTATAAATGTAAAAATAGGCCGTGTGTGGTGGCCCACGCCTGTAATCCCCCACTTTGGGAGGAAGAAGTGGGTGAATCATTAGCTCAGGAGATGGAGACCATCCTGGCCAACATGGTGAAACCCTGTCACTATTTAAAAAAAAATGGGAGAGGATCCAAGATGGCCCTTTTAGGAGCAGCTCAGGATTGCAGCTCCCAGTGAAAGCACAGAGGGTGAGTGGACGCCGCATGTCCAGACGGATCTTTATTGGCCACAGACCAGGAGATTCCTAGGCAGAGCAGCCCTACAGGTTACCGGCAGGCTGTTTTGGCCAGCACGGGTATTTTAGCTGATGCGGCTGTTTTGCAGCGCAGCGGCTCTCCATACAAAACACACTGGTCTGGTTGCCTTTTTAAGCTGGCAATTGGCACTCTGAGAATTCAGATTCGCCCATTCATCTGATTAAACGGGTCTGAAAAGGAGCCAGGCCAGGAGATTTCCGGGCAGCGCTGTTGTTTCAGCCGGTGCAGTGGGTCACGACACAGGAAATCACACAGATCCTGGCGCCCTTTCAGCGGGCGACTGGAACACCTAGGAGAGAGTCAACCGTTCAACTTAAAAAAAAAAAAAAGGTTCTGAGGCAGGGAGCCAGGTGATCAGGCTCGGCACGTCCCACCCCCACAAAAACAAACAAACAAAAAACAGCAATTGGAAACACTTGGGGTTGAGAGTTTCACGGCAAACACAGCCGAACCCAGGACTGTGCAGCTCAGTGGGGAGGGGTGTCCGCCATTACTGAGGCACTCCACCCCTACGGAGGTAGTCCGCCATTGCTGAGGCAGCTTGCCATGGCTGAGGCAACCTGCCATAACAGAGAGTCCACCATTACAGAGGCGGGCCACCATTGCTGAGGCAGTTCTAACCACACCCATATAAACAGGACTACAGGGAAGCTCAACAGCAGCAGGGCAGAGCCCAAAGCAGATAAGCAAAGCCTATACAGGCAGACAGTGACTAGGCTGCCTCCTTGCTGGGCAGGGCAGCCCTGTAAAAAAAAAGGCAGCAGCACAATGGATACTCATAAATAAAGTCCTAACTCCCAGGGACAGAGCACCTGGGGAAAAAAATGCGGTTTATGAGTTCTGTTGCAGCAGACTTAAACATACCTGCCTAGTAGTTCTGAAAGAACAATGGAGCTCACAGTTCAACACCTGAGCTCCAATGAAGAATGGACTGTCTACTCAAGCAGCTCCCTGACCCCCCGTATATCCAAAGAGTCACCTCACAAAAGACTGATCAGACTGACATGTGGCAGGCATCATTCTGAGAAAAAGATAGCAGAAGAAGAAACTGGTAACAACCCTTACTGTTCTGCAGCTGCAGCAGGTGATCCCCAGGCAAGCAGGGCCTGCAGTGGACCTCAGCAGTCCTACAGCAGAGGGGCCAGACTGTTGAAAGGAAAACTAAGACACAGAAATAACGTCATCATCAACAACCTGGACGTCCACTCAGAGACCCAAACTGAAAATCAGCAACTACACAGACGACAGGTGGATAAATCCACAAAGATGTAAAGAAACCAGCGCAAATAGGAGGAAAACACTTGAAACCAGA